ATGATGTCTTTAGTTTTTTATTAGAATTCTAATCATTGCTTTTTAAAACATTGCCAAGAAGTGAAGGTAGTTAAAATAATAGTAGGGTCAAGAGAAAAAGTCTTTTTGTACATTGTTTTTTTAGTAGGTATGAACGTTAAACATTGCCAAAATTTCAATGTAAGTTTTTGAAATTTTTTAATCAATAATTTTTTTTATCATTAAATTGTTTTAACATAGTGGGAGTATTCTGTATGTTAAATAGTAAAACTTTTCATTTATCCAAAAACATTAATGAAAATTTATTGTGCTAGTAAAATCAACTGTACTTTGTACCCCTTTACCCATTTGCTCTTCTCTCCAAAATTTGGTTTTGATCGTTTAGTGTATGGCTATATCAGAGGGCATGATAAATGGACTAATGGAATTCACAGAATTTTATATATCGATAATTGTATAATTACAAATAATACTTATATCTGCTATTTAAATTAATAATGCAACTTTTTCATTTGAAGACATCAATTACAATGGGAACCAAATAAATCTCTGATGGTCATACATAAATAGTGTGTGCAGCATCAGTCAGTCTCGAGAAATCTTGGATCAGCACCTAAAGAGTTATGCCTCAGTTGCTGATGGTGGTGCAGCATCTGTTATGGCGGTACAAGCCCACATGGGAGTGGCAGTCTCGATTGCAACAATTGCATGTGAAGATGATCTTCCACAGTGTTGTGTTGTTGTTTTCTTTCAGTCAAGCACACTTCTTCCCAGTGGCAAGACTTCATTTCTCCTCTTCTTACTCCAACCCTTGGTGTAAATTGCATCTCCAGCATGAGTGATTGTTGGGGAGTTCTTCCCACCCCTCTCTATGTCCATGTGCATCACCCTCATGTCCCATTTTGAAGACATCCTTGAAGTGAAAACAAAGTTGCCCTCTGGTCAATGGTCAGTTCTTTGTACAGAAGGACCCTCAGAATCTTCCAATCCAGTATGAAGTGTATATGTCCAAGCTAGTTCTGTTGGAGAAGAGTGCATGGGCTCGTTAACTGTGCACAAGTGAGAACATAAATATAAGTAATACATAAACATTATACAAAAAAAAAACTAATGATTATTTCATTGTTGAATGAGAATCAAAGAAATCTTGTGCAATGTGCATTTTATAAAGTGCATCATTCATTTCATAAAAAATGATATTTACAAAAAAGAAACTGTATTCATATTCAGGTTTTACTTTGTTTTTTTTTTTTTTTTTTTTTTTTTTTTTAGAATTATAAATACAGGCTGGAGAGAAGAGATCAATTTCCATAGAATTCAGCTTTAAAAAACCCCACAGATATGTAATCCAACACCAGAGGGTATCATTATCCTTACAAAGCATTTGGGCTGGTTATTTCAGAAGACTCAACATTTAAAATGTATATCCAGACACACACTGGAGAGAAATCTTATTCTTATGTGGCTCAGCATTTTCAAAGATCTCCAAGAGAACACTTGACACACAGGACAAATTATATTTGTACGATTCATGTCAATTGTTATTTTAAGGGAAGTCAGCTGTGAACACAATAGAGAAAATTATATTCTTGTAATGTGTATAGATTACCATTTTGAGATAATGTATCTATGAAGAAAGACATGCAAAACCAAATGAGTGTTGATCAGTATCTTCAAGTCATTTAGATTTCAAAGAACAGGAGTGAAGTGTATGGATTTGCATTTTCACTAATTCTTTAAAAATACATATGCAAACACAGACAGGAGTAAAATTGTATAGATACAAATCATTTTCAATGACATCTGTAAAGATACATATTCAAGCACACAGAAGGGAGAAACTATATTCTTATGAAGTGTGTGGTATTTTCACAAAATTCAGCTTTAAAAACTCCTGAAAATACACTGGCAAAAAAAAATATTCTTTATGGATAGGGATTTTTCACATAAATTTGAAAGCAAACATGCAAACAGACTCCAGAGAAAAACTATATTCATGTGAAATGTGTGGATCATCATTTTCAGATAATGCATCTTTAAAGAACCAAGTTCAAAAACACAAAAGGAAGAAACCATATGAATGCAAAATATGTGGGTCAGCATTTTCAGAAAATAAATCCTTAAAACAACATATGCGAAAACACACTGGAGAAAACACATATTCTTGTGAGGTTTGTGGATCAATCTTTTTAGTGAATTCACAATTAAAAACGCACATGCAAGTACACACTGGAGAGAAACCATATTCGTGTGAGGTATGTGGATCGACATTTTCGAGACGTTCAAATTTAAAAGCACACATGCGCACACACACTGGAGAGAAACCATATTCTTGTGAAGTGTGTGGAACATCTTTTTCACAGCATTCAAATTTAAAAATACACATGCAAATACACACTGGAGAAAAACCATATACTTGCCGTGTGTGTGGCTCAGCATTTTCAGAGAATAAATCTTTAAACAGACATATGCGTATTCACACTGGAGAAAAACCATATTCTTGTGAGGTGTGTGGATTGGCATTTTCACAAAATTATTTAAAAAGACACATGCGAACACACACTGGAGAGAAACCATATACATGCAAAGTTTGTGGAGCAGCATTTTCAGAGAATAAATCATTAAAGATACATATGCGAACGCATACAGGAGAAAAACCATATTCATGTGAGATTTGTGGATCAGCATTTTCAGACAGTTCATATTTAAAAAAGCACATGCGAACACACACTGGAGAAAAACCATATTCTTGTGTCGTATGTGGATCAGCATTTTCAGACAGTTCATACTTAAAAAAACATATGCGAACTCACACTGGTGAGAAACCATATGCATGCAAAGTATGTGGATCAGCATTTTCAGAGAATAAATCTTTAAAAAGACACATGCGAACACACACTGGAGAAAAACTATATTGTTAGGCATGTGGATTGGCATTTACATGGTAATTAAGTTTAAAACAGTGGAGAAAATATATTGTTTTGAGGTGTTGATTGGCTTTTCTACAGTATTCATATGTTTGAAACAATATTCAAATGTACGCTTGGCAGAAAACATGCCATGTGTTTGGTATTAGCATTTTTAAAGAAATTTGTAAAGAGCATCATGAAAACTCTTGTTGAGTGTGTGGTTAAAAAAATCATTTTTTAAAATTATCTCATGTGAACACACACTAAAAAGCAACTATTAGGTTGGGTCATAAATAATTTCCGTTTTTGGTTATCAACTTTATTATTTATATTCATACTGTTGTCCTCATCTTTATTTTTATAACAATATTTCGACCATTGTGCCCTCCTGCCTTCTTCAGGTGTATATTGATCTGAGTAATCTACATGGTATTCTGAACCCTCTATGTAAACCATGGAAGGGTAGAATGTTCTCGTTCAACTGCTCATGTCAAGGGATATCATCTAGTTCTTACTTTTGTTTAGTACTGCTCAGTTATTACTTGCCCATTTTTCCACTGAACACAAGTACACACTGTCCGACCCAGGGATTGAACTCACAATCACTATGTCACCAAATTCACAACGCTTTAATCTACTAGGCCAATGATTCTCAACCACAATGCTATGTGTGTATGAAGTAGTAATGGTCCAGCATTAATATTTGAATAAAGGAATAAGTATTAAACTTTTTTCAAATATTTCTTTTCATTATTCTCGATTATGTTATTTTAAATACATCGTTTTAATATTCATTTCTTAAAATACCCTTTAAACATTTTTCTAAGTGTGCCGTGATATTTTAATTTGCTCTTAGATGTACCATTGCTTAAAAAAGTTGAGAAATACTGCACCAGGTCATTGCTTTGTAGGACATAAATAGTTATTTACACTATTTACATTGTTTGGACTGTTGTCCCTTTCTTTGTTGATGTATTCACAAGGTTTTGACCATTGTATGCTGCGGTGAATATGACAACAAAGATGAGTTCAACAGTTCGAACAACGTAAATAGTGTAAATAATTACAATACCACATCTCAGGAATTAACAACTTTATTCTTTAAAAAATAAATTACAATTACATTTTTCTTTGATTATATATTCACCATTATTTGCAATGATTTTTTGCCAGTTATCAGGCAATTTTCCAATACCATTCTGATAAAATTACACAGGTTTTAACATGAAAAGGTTTGCAACATATTCTTGAATCTGGTTTTTTTATTAGGAAAGTTTTCTCATCAAAGCATTTTGCATCAATCAAAAATGTTAATATGCAGTTAGGGCAAGGTGAATTGAATGTGGAGGGTGTGGTATGACAGACCAACCAAGTTCAAAAATGTTTTCCTGCATTCTTGATGTATGCAGCCTTGCATTGCCATGGAGGAGGCCAACATTTTTCCTGTTGACAAGTGCAGTTTGATTTTCAACCAATCTTTTATGAACATGTTGCTGCTGCTGGATATATAAATATGCATTTAGTGTTTCATTATTCTTTTACAATTTTTCAAAGACAATCATTTCCTTTCTTCCATGGAGCTCAGCTTTTGGGGTTAGTAGTGTATATTTATCCTTATCAGTTCACTGGCATTTGCACTGATCATTGTTGTATATAACTTATTTTTCATTACTTGGTATGATGAAGAATGGTTAGTTAGGATAAAACATTCATCTTTTCAATCGGTTTCTGAAAGCAGAAATTACTTATTACTTAACCTAATATATGTAAAGTGTGTGGTTTAGTAATTTTTAGAAAATGTACCTTTAAAGTGATTCATGTGAAGATACAATGGAGAAAAAAAAATTCTTTTGGAATTGATTTTATTCATTTTCTTTTTTTTACAGCATATCAACCCTTTGCAGGTTATTTAAGGCCAGAAAATATTTTTAGATTGTAATATTTTTTTTTTGAGATAATAGTTACTAATTAACCCATAGTTGGTGGGAAGAGAAGAAGTGGACTCATAACTTTCCCAAGGGTATTTGCATGTAAGTGAATATAAAGAACACAAGTGAAATTGGAACTCTGCTCTTCGATTAACAATTCCATTACACCACCTGCACATCCAAGCTTACAGCACCTGGTATTCCCAAGTGGTCACCCATCTAGGTACTGACCAGGCTTGACATTTCTTAATTTCAGTGATTGTATGGGGACCAATGTTTCCACATGATTTGTCAATATAGCCATATTCTTTTGGGATGTTTAAGATGAATGTTTTTACAAAAGACCATATAAGTATAATGTGGTTAACATTTCCCTGATAGTTAAAATATTCTGTTTTTACATTTTTGTTTTGTTTTATTTTATTAAAGTTCACCTAATACAAGGCCCAAGAGCCAATCAATGTAGAGGGTTACTGAATGATGTGTGTGATATGAATACAAGAAGAGAAATTAGATAGTTAACTTTATGTGGATATTACAGATAGATAAATTTTTTATGTGCCATACGTGATCTATTTATTTTGTTTCCTCTGCAATGTTTACTTACAAGATTATTATGTGAACCAAGTACAATGTAATATTACTTATTTCAGTTATGTGTCATGCATGATACACGCTTAGGCGATCATGTATCTTTCGATACATGACTGACTAGGTAGATTTCTTCCCTGCAGTAGGTTGCTATTTCTTTCTGCGGCAGACCAGTTGCCATCCAAGGCTATAGAACCCGGTCTGTCCTGCTATTTACCCATAGCTGGTGGTGGTGAAAAGAAGAGCATTCATACCTTTCCCAAGGGTATTAGCACATAAGTGAATGTAATGGATTTGACTGGAATTCAAACTCAGCTCTCTGATTCCTCAATCTGAGCCTCTATCCATTACTCTACTGTATTAACTCTATATTTGAAGAGGTTAAGATTGTAATGTTCTGGGAAGCACCCACACAAGAGTCTGTTCCACAAAGTATTGGTCCTTGGCAAGAATCTTTTGGAGTGGAATGCCCTTCTTACTAAAGGACTATTTAGAGAATAGGAGTGATTCAACCCTGTGGATGGAGCAAAGTGGCTATTCATTGTAAAGGTCTTAGTAAGTCGCTTTAACAGATTTCATTGGAACATTTACCATGGAAGAAGCAATAGGCTTTTGATGTTGCATCTATGGAAAAGGAGTTGTCGGCTGGCAAATATTTCATCAGCTATGTAAATATTTTTGAACTCGTTTTTCAGATGATACATACAAGATGTACTGTGAATAATTTATGTGAAATCTTCTTCCCTTGCCTTATTCCTTCCTTAATTTTTTTATCTGTCTTTCTTAAATCATTCTTTTAATCATTTCACTGCAAGCAAGTCAATAAAGCCACTAAGAAGCAAGGAGTTACTGAGTGAAACAATGAGAAAAAACACTGTTAAGGAGAGAAAACAATAAAAAACAAGAATTTGCATGTAAATTTTTAAAGATTGAAGTTGACTGGAAAACTGGAAGAGAGTTCTACTAGTGAGAAGTGTGAGAGAAGAAACTATTAGCATAGAACTTATGGTAGCTCCTAGCAATTTCAATGTTGATGAGACCTAACTGCCAATATAGTACTAATCTAGTAGATTGCACCACTTTTATGTATTTTCAATTAAGTCTTTTCTTTTTAAAAATCCCACTCTTGTAGTAAGTTAGAGATGACAGGATTTTCTAGTAATTCAAATTCTTTTTCTTAGTCTACAAGTTGCAAACAAATCAGCTTTGAGTTTCTTGGTTTTTGATCCTGTTGTAAATGCAGGTGCTCCTCACTTAACAGCCATATTCTGTTGCAGTGACCTGATTGGTAAAGAGAAATTCTACCATGTTCTGTTGCAGTAACCTGGTTGCTAAAGAGAAACTCTACCATGTTCTATTCCAGTGACCTGGTTGCTAAAGAGAAACTCTACCATGTTCTGTTGCAGTGATCTGATTGGTAAAGAGAAATTCTACCATGTTCCGTTGCAGTGACCTGGTTGGTAAAGAGAAACTCTACCATGTTCTGTTGCAGTGACCTGGTTTTGAAGAAACTCTACCATGTTCTGTTTGACTTACCTGGTTGCTTCTTGAGAAACTCTACCATGTTCTGTTGCAGTGACCTGGTTGAAAAAAATTACTACCATGTTCTGTTGCAGTGATCTGATTGGTAAAGAGAAACTCTACCTGACCATTATTTCAGACATACTATGTAATTAATGGGTTTGTGCCAATTTTGTACCATTTGTAACATTTCTAATTTATTTGTAAATGTTTATCCTGTCATGTACTGAACAGTAAATGTAATAAACAAATTCAAAAATCAGCTCTATACATTATTTTGGTTTACATACTGTAGAGACATTACAATTAAATTTTTATTTATTTTTCACTATTTATTCGCTTTACTTTTTTTTTTATTCATTTTGAAAAAAAGAAACAATCGCAAAATACAACATTGACTGATTTCTGTCGATCCTTCTCCCTGCTCACCTTTTTATTCAGGTTTTTAACCACGCATGCAAATTGGTGATAGTTTTAAAAGCACTAGAACCACGCATACACTTTACCTAAATTGCAAATGGTGACTCTGACCAGACAGGCATGACATCATGGCCTTTTAGCCACAGGTAGGTTAGAAAGTTTTCACTCTATTTCACCACACTCCCCCTTGATCTCATGATCACAAAATGTGCAGCTGGGCACTGGTTGCATCTGCCACGTCCCTGGTTCAAGCTCGGGTTTTGGCACCACCAAACTCTGGCTATGACGAACCATTTTTGGAAAAATAGAAAATTTCCATAAATAAATGAATATAAAGAGACTGATGGTGAGTTCTCATATGCATTATCATTTTTGTTTCAGCTGGATTCTTAGCAATACATTAATAATATTTGTATTGTATCTGTTTTTGAAATATCAGTAAGTGCTAGTTAGTTTAAAACACAAATGCTAATGACTGTCTTGAAAACGTGTGTGTGTGTATATATATATATATATATATATATGTGTGTGTGTGTGTTAAGAATGTCTGATGACAAGATACCCAAGATCCTCATGTACAGCAAGTTAGATCAGGGTTTCAGGAATGTAGGACACCCATGGCTTAGATACAAAGACAAGCTGAAGAGCAACTTGTCAGCTGTCAATATACCTCATAACATCCTTGAGCGCTTAGCCTTGGAGTGGGTAGAGTGGAGATCCTTGTATTTTAGTGAACTCCACAATTTTTATTCTGCTGGTCTGAATCATCTTCAAGAAGTTAGAGCAAGATCTAAAAGGTCAGCCAATCTAACAGTGACCTCAGCTCACAATCCTTACTCTTGCTCCATATGTGACCTCCTTTGCAAATCACTTGTAAGTTTTAACTGCCAATTAAGATTATTGCACAAAATTCAAAACTGAAACAATTGGTTAAGTTGTCAGATCCTCATATGTTGAAACAAATGGGAGTGTCCATTTATATATATATATATATATATATATATATATATATATAAACATTTTCAAGAAAACAAATTGCCCTAAAAAGGCCATAGAGTATTGAAGGTACAGAAGATGAGGTAGAGAAAACAAAGGAGCTTTATTAAATATGCATACATAGAACAGATAATTATCTATTAACTGAAACAGTCCTCAAATTCTACTCTAATGTGATTACTTGCTATATTTATAAGTAGGGGCAGTCCATTGTCACAGTAGTTTTAAGAGCAGGAAGTTCACTTAGTCCTTTTTTTTAACATGAACAAAATTTAAGCAGTAAGAAAATCCATTCAAACAGCTTCTGCTGCTTTATAGAATAGACTCTTGGCAGGACGTTTTCCATACAATCTTGACCAGTTCAAGTCTAGGGTTAACCGTGAACTCTCCTGCATAAACTCATGAACATCACCTTTGGCTTTCTTTCATACAACATATAGTTATCCTCTACCTTGTACTGGAGACAAATAAACCCAAACATAAAAAAAAGAAACTCTTTTGAATTAAATTCTTACCACTAAATTATGATGATCACTCTATATGGTATACTGTATTTCACTGCTTATAACATGCTCTGATACACATTAGACACCCCCCCCCCAACTTTTTTTTTTCCAAAATTGGAGTCCTTAAACTAAACCCAATTTTACCCACTGTATAACATGTTTCAGCATGAAAATCTGACTAATCATGACAAATTCATTGTAGACTGACAAGAAGTAACAAATTTATGGTAAATATATTTTCTTTTTTACTGTAATCAGGACCATTGAGTCAGTGCAAACTATCCTTTCCTCAGCTGCATAGTATGAGTTTTGTCAAGGCTAGATACAGTTTTGAATTTAGAGTTTTCTTTCTTCTAGACGGGTTGCCACCCAAGGCTATAGATCGCAGTCTGTCCTACTATTTACCAATATCTGGTGGGTTGGGGAGAGAAGCATTTGATTCATACATTTCCCAAGGGTATTAGCACATGTGATTGTAATTCAAACTTGGCTTTCCGATTCCTCAATCCAATCTGCAATCCATTATTCTATCATTTCCTCCCTATTTAGAATGTAATAATTAAAAGAGAAGTTAATTTCAATCATTGACCTTCAATTTAAAATTCCCTCAATTTCAGCTCATTCAAAGATTTGAACACTGGTCAAAAGTAGTTGCTTTATTTTACATTCCTCTTGAGGAGACAAGTTCTTAGAGTCTTTTCCTTTACTTCTAGTTTTCAACTTAATTATATTCTTTCGTGATCATTGAAAAATTTTCATGGATATTGATGTCATTCTGGGTTCTTTTTTTTCTTTTTTTACCCAAATCTGTGAATTTGTTTTGCTCATGCTAAGTCTTGAAAAACACTTTATAAAATTCACTATTTTTTTTATCTATAATGTTGAATCTGTTAAATTATTCGACTTTTTAACAAGAAAAATCTCAAGTTGATGTTAAAAGTTGTTACAAAACTATTGATTTATTTAAGATGGAAAATGGTATGATCTATTATGACATGTCTCTAATTTGTACTGAGATACATTGTATTTATTTTCAATATTTCTAGTTGTTCACCTATATTGCATATGATCCATTGTACATAATTAGGTTACAATAAAATTTGTATTTTATATGAATATGTTATACCATACCTATGGACTATAATGGGTATGTCCCAATCCTCTTAAATACAGTGGAATATACTGTCTGGGTGAATAACCACTGGTTCAACACTAGCAGTGGATTACTTACTACACACTGCTGGCAAAT